GAAAGGGCTTAGGAGAGCTATCAGGGGGCATGAGAAAACCTTGGCAGATAGGATCAAGGAAAACTCCAAGGCTTTTTACACGTATGTGCAGAACAAGAGAATGACCAGAGAAAGGGTAGGGCCGACCAAGGATTGTAAAGGGAATTTGTGCGCAGAGCCTAAAGAGATAGGAGAGGTCTTTAATGAATACTTTTCTTCAGTATTCACAACTGAGAGGGACCTAGTTGTAGAGGAGGATGTTGTGAAACAGGCAGGTAGGCTAGAGGAGGTTGATGTTAGTAAAGAAGATGTGCTAGGAATTCTGAGGAAGTTGAAGATAGATAAGTCCCCCGGGCCTGATGGGATTTATCCAAGGATTCTATGGGAAGCGAGGGACGAGATCGCAGGGCCTTCGGCGATGATCTTTTCGTCCTCACTGTCCACGAGTATAGTGCCGGAAGATTGGAAAGAGGCAAATGTCATTCCCTTGTTCAAAAAAGGGAACAGGGATAACCCCGGAAATTACAGGCAAGTTAGTCTTACGTCAGTGGTGGGCAAATTATTGGAAAGGGCTCTGAGAGATAGGATTTATGATCACTTGGAAAGGCACAGTTTGAGTCAGCATGAATTTGTGAGGTGTAGATCATGCCTCACAAACTTTATTGAATTCTTTGAAGAGGTGACCAAACACATGGATGAAGGTGGAGCAGTGGATGTGGTATACATGGATTTAAGTAAAGCGTTTGATAAGGTTCCCCACGGTAGGCTCATGCAGAAGGTAAGGAGGCATGGGATAGGGGGAAATGTGGCAGATTGGATTCAGAATTGGCTGACCCTTAGAAGACAAAGGGTGGTAGCAGACGGAAAATATTCAACATGGTACTCAGTTACGAGTGGTGTACCACAAGGATCTGTTCTGGGTCCTCTTCTATTTGTGATTTTTGCAAATGATTTGGATGAAGGAGTGGAAGGGTGGATTAGTAAGTTCGCGAATGATACGAAGGTGAGTCAAGTTGTGAATAGTGCGGAGGTCTGTTCTAGGTTACAAAGGGACATTGATAGAATGCAGAGCTGGGCTGAGAAGTGGCAGATGGAGTTTAACCCTGAAAAGTGTGAGGTGATTCATTTTGGAAGGACAAACTTGAAAGCAGAATACAGGGTTAACAGAAAGATTCTTGGCAATGTGGAGGAGCAGAGGGATCTTGGGGTTCACGTTCACAGTTCCCTGAAAGCTGCCACCCAGGTGGATAGAGTGTTAAGAAGGCGTATGGTGTGTTAGCTTTCAGTAATAGAGGGATTGAGTTCAAGAGCCGTGAAGTTATGCTCCAGCTATACAAAAGGCTGGTTCGGCCACACCTGGAGCATTGTGTCCAGTTCTGGTCACCTCATTACAGGAAAGATGTGGAAGCGTTGGAAAAGGTGCAGAGGAGATTTACCAGGATGTTGCCTGGAATGGAGGGAAGGTCTTACGAGGAAAGGTTGAGAGAGCTCGGACTTTTCTCTTTAGAATGACAAAGGATGAGAGGTGACTTGATAGAGGTATACAAAATGATCAGAGGTATAGATAGACAGCCAGAGAATTTTTCCTCGGGTGGAGGTAGCTTTTATGAGGGGACATAGTTTTAAAGTGAAAGGAGGCAGATATCGGGGAGACGTCAGAGGTAGGTTCTTTACTCAGAGAGTGGTAGGGGTGTGGAATGCATTGCCGGAGAGGGTAGTGGAGTCGGCCTCATTAGGGGCATTTAAGAAGCTATTAGATAGGCATATGGATGATAGTATAAGGTAGCGGTGGAGGTTAATTAGACCTAATGTTTAGGGGTAAAGTTCGGCACAACATCCTGGGCCGAAGGGCCTGTACTGTGCTGTACTGTTCTATGTTCTGTGTTCTATGTTCTCGATATACGGGAACACCACCACCTCCACGTTCCCCTCCAAGTCACTCAGCATCCTGAGTTGGAAACATATCATTGTTCCTTCACTGTTGCTGGTTCAAAATCCTGCAATTCCCTCCCCAACCGCTGAACCCAACTGCAGTGGTTCAAGAAGGCAGCTCACCACCACCTTTTCAAGGGCAACTAGGGATGGACAAAAAGTGCTGGCCAGCCAGGGACACCCACATCCCACAAATGAATAAGAAAAAAAATTGCTTAATGTGATTGTATGAAAATGTTTTTTTTACAATTAATGTTGTTGTTTAATGTCTGCATTGAGATAACAGCAAAGGAGTTTCAAGCTGAGCGTTAATTCTGTGCCTCCTCATTCTCCAGCCAATGTGCTGTTAACTTTCAAAGGCTCCTTCTGCCAGAAGTCTCAGTTTTTGGATCATTTGATAAGAAGCAGAGATGTTGTTTTGCTGTAAGTGCACGTCTAGGACATTATTGCTGAAAATAAATTTCACATGGGACCCAGAGCAGCGGTCAGGTCTGATACATTTCCCTCAGGTTGGATATAAATGCAAGTTGAGGAAATGAAGGTCAGTATATGAGGCTGTTAATATTGTCCCTCGCACCACGGAGAGTCATGACCTTATTCTAACATTAATATTTCACATTCTCGCCTTTCATTTCTGCAGGCCTATTGAACATGTTTAGTCTGTGAGCTCTGTGCAGCTTTGACACATGGGTACAGTTAGAGGAACACATCGCAATTCCTTTCGATACAATTGAAGTGAACTTTGCGATGTATTACAGCAGACCTTTATCCTCATCACCATTCGTCAACTTTGCAAAAGGATTTTCTTGATGGAAGTACATTAAATCTTGAATCACTCCGATATGTAAAAGTCTGGAGATTTCTGTCATCCTTAGATACAAAGACCCATAAAATGTTGTTGTTATTACTCATATCACTTAATATAGACGCCAGCATTTTCTCTGACATTAGGATCACTGCTGTGTAATTCTCTGTTTCTCATTTTCTCTTTTTTTAAATAGTAGGGTTACATTTGCTGCCTTCAGGCTGTAGGAGCTGCCCCAGAGTCTATAGAATTTTGGAAGATGACCACTAATATTTGCAGGAGCACTTCCTTCAGTACCCAGAGCTGGCAGTGATTAAGTACCTATCTGCCTTTAACCCCATTCATTTCCTCAAGACTATTTTCTTATTAATACTGATTTCCTTAAATCCTACCTCTCACTCAGCTGTTCGTTCCTTCATGTTTCTGCGAGCTAATTGTGTCCACTTTTGTGAAGACAGAAGCAAAGTACATTTTCAATTATTCTGCAATTTCTTTGTTCCCTATTGTAATAACCCCAAAAACTGACTGTAAAGGACCTACATTTGCATTTATCAATCTTTTTCCTCTCAAGTACTTACAAGAACTTTTACAATCAGTTACTATGATCCCCCCAGATTTACTTTCATTCTCTATATCCTCCTTTTGGTCAAGCTCTCCATCCTCTTACTGAATTCTAAGATGTTTCCAATCCTCAGGAATAGTTACTAAGTATCAATGAATACCAGAAAAAGAAGGTATCAAATGGTACTGCACAGAAAGAGAACACTCAGCCCATCATGTCTGTGCAATCTCTTTGAAATGACGAATCAATCAGCCCCTCTCCCCTGTTCCTTCCCCATCCCTATCTTAATTCGAATCATAGACCCATACAGAAGAAGCCCTTTGGCCCATTAAGTCTGTACTGCTAAAAATATCTACATTAGGCCCACTGCCTTGAAGGTTAAGACATTTCAAGAGCTCATCCAAGTCTTTTTTAAAGGGTGTAAGGTTTCCTGCCTCAACGACCCTCCCACGCCAGGCATTCAAGATCCTCACCACCCTCTGAGTGGAAAGGTTTTTCCAAAAGTCCCATCTAAACTTCGTGCCTTTCACTTTAAAATTCTGCCTCCTTCTTATTGATCCTTTGAACAGTTGCTTCCTAACCACCTTGTCTATTCTCCTCATAATCTTATACACCTCCATCAGGTCATCCCTGAACCTTCTCTGTTCTTATCCAGCCTCTCTTAATCGCTGAATCTCTCCACCCCAGGCACCATCCTGGTGAATCTCCTCTGCACACGCTCCAGTGCAATCAAATCCTTCCTATAGTGCAGAGACCAGCTGTGACTTAACCAAAGTCCTGTACAGCTCGAACACAACCTCCCTCTTCTCATAGATAACAAGGTGTAGAGCTGGATGAACACAGCAGGCCAAGTAGCATCAGAGGAGCAGGAAGGCTGACGTTTCGGGCCTAGACCCTTCTTCAGAAAAGACTTAGACCCTTTCTAAGAAGGCTCTAGGCCCGAAACGTCAGCCTTCCTGCTCCTCTGATGCTGCTTGACCTGCTGTGTTCATCCAGCTCTACACCTTGTTATCTCAGATTCTCCAGCATCTGCAGTTCCTACTATCTCTCTCTTCTCATAGTCTGTTCTTTTTGCAAGTTATGATTCAGTCTGCTTCCAGCGCCAAACAATGCTTTCCAGGTTACAACAACCCAACCTGCTCTCTCCTTCTGGTACTTTCATCAATTATTTTAGTCTGCGTCTATCCCTCTGGTTACTGACCCTCCTACCAATGAAAGCAGTTTCTCTATTTTTGTGAATTAAAGCCCCAGAATATTTTGAGCACCCCCCCACTAAATCTATGTAATTGTTTTCCAAATTTTGCAGTTAATCTAAGAACAACTGGTTAAAATGTTTTATTTGTACTGAGGGAGTGATGTGAAGACTAGGCAAAAGTATTTGTGTTTTGGTTAATAGAGATTAGGATAAAAGTGACCTGTTTACATTGCTATAACAAATACTCGATTAGCTTTATAAACAGATAGTTTTGTCTGTTATAATTTCATAGCTAATTCTAATATTTTATTAAAAAAACAATGTTTGAAGGGTGGAAAAGCAAGCAAATAATTGAGGTTGAGTTTGAGGTTGCTCCCTGAAACAGTGTTGAAGTTTCTAGGTTTGATCACAGCTGTCAAGAGATCTGGATTTGAACTCAGTCACTGAGTAAGTCACATTGTCAACAAAGTGTGGTACACTACATGGACTCTGTGGTTAATCATTGAACAACTGGGTCTCCCTCCCTTCAGTTAGTTCATCCATTGAATTTCTATTTTCAAACAGAGAATAATGGCAGAAATTGACTTGTTATTAATTGTTAGTCTTCTTGGGCTCTTCAAGTTCAGTCATGGCGAAGGTACGTACATTTTCGATCAACTACTTTAGTGGAAATTAACGTTCAATCGAAAGCAACACAGGCTGCAGGATTTCCTGGAAGATTTTCGTTTTAAAACCTTTCACAATACTTGCTGACCTAGGACACTATATGCTTTCTGATCCACCATTTCCTAAACTATTTTCTCCTTCTGTCTTCCCCTCGATAAGGGACTACATCAGAACAGTGGACACTTCTCTGAATGATAGGTCGTACAGTTACAGATTAGAGACATAGGAGCAGAAGTAGGCCATTCGGCCCTTCGAGCCTACTCCACCATTCAATAGGATCAGAACTGATTATCCAACTCCGTCCTCTGTTCCTGTTTTTGTCCCATAATCTTTGCCCGCTCCCACCCCATCCTTAAGAACTACATCTAACTCCTTGAAAACATTCAATGTTTTAGTCTAAATCACATTCTGTGGCAGAGCATTCCACAGGTTCACCACTCTCCAGGTGAAGATATTTCTCCTCATCTCAGTCCCAAATTGCCCACCCTGAATTCTTAGACTGTGAGCCTGGGTTCTGGATTTTATAGAATAGACCTGCAATGGGTAAGAACTTGGGAGGGTGACATATTTTTGGATGTTGGTTGTCACTGACAAAGCTGACAGTTTACCTGTTGTCACAGTTTGATACAACTTTATTTTTTAGGCAGTCATGAGACGTGGGCATCTCTGGCTGGGCCAGCATTTATCTCCAATCCCTATTGCCCTTGAGAGGGTGATGGTGAGCTACCTTCTTGAAACGCTACAGTCTATTTGATGTAGAAAAGTCAACAATGTTCTTAAGGAGGGAATTCTAGGATTTTGTCCTGGCAGCTCTGAAGGAACGGCGATATATTTCCATGTCAGGACAATGGTGGCTTGAAGGGAAACTTGAAGCAGGTGGTGTTCCCATGTGTCTGCTGCCCTTGTCCTTCTGGTCATTGACTAGAGAAACAAAATGGTTTTGTGGGCCACTTCAGAGGGACATTAAAAATTAACCATTTTCTTGACAGACTGGAGTCACAAATAGGCCAAGACTAGGCAAGGATGGCAAATTTTCTTCTGTAAAGGAAACCAGTGAACTCATAAAGAATTTAACAACAGCATCATGACCACTTTGACTGATGGAAACTCTTTAATTTTCACATTTAGTAAATTTGAATTTATAATATTTGGGTTGTTCGCGCTTTGTCTCCTTTGGCCTTTTATTTTTCAGTAGCTCAGAAAACATCAAGTCATAAATATCACGAGGCTATTGCGATCAATATTTGTTCCACTTTAACTATCTTTCTAACAACTAGATGGAAATGTTGATTAAGTTGAAGCCTTTTCCATGAAGCAGATGTTTGTCTCCCACTGGAGGGAAAACCTGACGAACCTCATTCTCATTTCTGGTAAAAAACAATTTCCCTCTGTCTCTCCCAATCCCACAGCCTTTTCCTGTCACCTGTTGATGGATGAGAAAGACCTTGAGTGCAAAATACACATGCCCCCTATCTGAGGTCAAGGTTCCCATAGTGAGGCCCACAGGAAACCTGTATTTCCTCCGACATATTGTTTCCTGTCCTATCTTGGGAGTTGTAAGCTCCTAAAAACTACACTTGCTTTGTGAGTTCATGGCCACACTGCAGGGGAGGGGGTCTGTGGGCTCACTAGATAAAAGCCAGAACAGCTTCAAATGTCACTATTCAATGCTATATTGTAATGTGGACATATTTATAATGCATTGATTCATCAGAAGGGGATCTGTTTTTGTGTAGTTCTCACCATGCAGTACAGTCATATTTTGTACCATGATTTAAATCAATTGACTTAGCTGTCTGTTAAAATAGCCTATGTAAGTTGATAATAATATCTGAACCTGCTCCTTTTCATCCAAACAGACATCTTGCTTTGAAATCGCAATGCAAAATCGTTCTATTCTGTCAGTTTCAAACAGCATGGCTGGACATTTTCATTCTGAAAGCTATAATCATTATGAATGTCTGGCTGGATTTCAAAAACTTTAATGACTTCAATTCAACAGGTTGTCTAATAACCCAAGAATAAATAATTGATACTTTTAGCAGACTGTAACAACAGAGTGTATCTCTGATGTAGTTTCTTGTTTTCTTACAAGCACAATAATACTTAAAGAGTGACACTTAATTTTGCATTGGAATAGTTTTTCACTCAGTATCAATGGAAAATGCAGGACATATTCATCACATGTTTGGAGGTAGATAAAGAGTTTACATTTCAAGCATGCTGCCAGGAATGAAGGGTTTGAGATTTTTAAAAAATAGACTAGATAGGCTGGGACCTTTTTCCCTGGAGCATAAGAGGTTGAGCGTTCACCTTATTGAGGTTTATAAAATCATGAGGGGCATAAATAAGGTGAAAGACAAGGGTCTTTTCCCTAGGGTGGGGGAGTTCAAAACTACGGGGCATATTTTTAAGATGAAACAAGTAAGATTTAGAACAGTCATGAGGGGCAACTTTTTTACACAGAGAGTGGTTCTTGTGTGGAATGAACTGCCAGAGAAAGTGATGGATGCAGGTACAGTTGCAACATTTAAAAGACATTTGGATAAGTTCATAAATAGGAAAGGTTTGGAGGGATATGGACCAAGCGCAGGCACATGGGACTAGTTTGGTTTGGGAACATGGTCAGCATGGACTGATTGCACTGAATGGTTCGGTTCCATGCTGTCTGACTCTATGACTCGAAAAAATGACTTACAAAACTTCAAGCCCTATTAGACAATTCACTATATTTGGCAACATGGAACCATATGACATTTACAGCACAGAAATAAACCATTCAACCCATCGTTTCTGCCCTGGTTAACTAGACTAGCTGCCCACTGCTCCCAGTTAAAGTCATAAAGACTCGCTGTATGATAAAAATATTCTTCATGTGGCATCTGATTTGATTATCAGCTCTTCTATCTCTCTGTCCCCTGGCTACACTGCCAGTGAAAATTGTTCACCCTGTTTAATCTAACAAAATCCTTCATAATTTTTAACAGTTTTATCAAATCTTCATTCCTGTGGCAAGGGAAGAAGTCCAACATCTCCATTCGCTCCATGCAACTGCTGTGTTCTCAGCCCTGGTGCCATCCTGGTTCATCTCCTTCCTCCCCCAATACCCCAATGCCTTCTTAAAGTGTGAAGCCCATAATTAAACACATTTCTCACATCTAAGATGTTGGGCCAGTTTAGCATAATCTCTTCAATTTGGGCAAAGTTCAAATTCATGCAAAATCCACCCAAGTCCATGGAGTTAAAATTGGACCAGAGACTATTTTTAGCAGAGATAGTAGGAACTGCAGAGGCTGGAGAATCTGAGATAACAAGGTGTAGAGCTGGATGAACACAGCAGGCCAAGCAGCATCAGAGGAGCAGGAAGGCTGACGTTTCGGGCCTAGACCCTTCATCAGAAATCAGCTTTGTCTACTCTCAGGTCTCTATATTCTTGCACCACATTTAACATTGTGCCAATTATTGTCTGTTGTCTCTCCCCAGTCTATGAACCAAAATGGGTCACTTCGCATTCTCTATCATCTCCCAAATGACCTACCCAGCTAGTCCCACTCTCTAGCTCTGTCTCCATAGCCCTCAAAATTCATAGCTTTCAAATATATATCCGGTTCTCTTTTGGAATGTCCTGAGGAATCCGCCTCACCATTCTGCCAGGCATTCCAAATCCTAACAACTCTCTGAGTAAAGAACTTTCTCCTCATCTCACTCCAAGTTCTCTCACTGACAATTTTGAAATTATGACCCTTAGTTACCAGTGGAAACAGAATATCCTCTTTACCCTGTCAAAATTGTTAATAATATTTGAAAACCTCAATAAGGTCATCCCTTAATCTTGTCTGCTCCAAAGAGAATAAGCTCCATTTCTCTAATCCTTCCTTGTATCTAAAATATCTAATTCTTCATATTATTCTAGTAAATCTCCTCTCCATGGTGTTAACATCCTTCCTTAAATAGGGTGGCCAGAACTAAACACAATACTCCAAATGCGCTCCGATATTCAGTTTAACTTCCATTTTTTTTCTTTTGATTCCTTTCAGTATTTCTCCAAAGTGAAAAAGCAAACAGCGTCATACAAAGGCAGAAAAGAGCCAACAGGGTTTTTGAAGAAATGAAACCAGATAATTTAGAAAGAGAATGCATTGAGGAAAGATGCTCCTATGAAGAGGCACGAGAAATATTTGAAAACAAGGACATCACGGTAATATTTACGGAACTGGGAATACCATGAGTGAGCAGTAACAAATGATGCAAAGCAAAATAAGTGTGCTAACATATTGTTGATAAAGAGCTCTCTATCTTTCTTTGGGCTCTACCCCCACCTATTGTTTACTCCCTAAGCCCTCCTCCCACTCTACCTTCTGCATATAAAACAACATTTTCCCAGCTACCATCAGTTTGAGGTCACTTAACCCAAAACGTTAACTCTGATTTCTCTCCACAGATGCTGCCAGACCTGCTGATCTTTTCCAGCATTTTCTATTTTTGTCACAGACACATAATCCCCCTGTCCTTCCAACCCAGGGTTTTTACTTATCCCAATCCCCCCATGCCCTATGCCCCTACAGTTCCATCAGCTCCAATTTCTCCTAACCTTCAAGCCTACCTTTCCCTTCAATCATCAGTCCTTCCACGCACTTCCAAAACCATCTCCTAAATGATATATCTTTCTACTGAGTCATAGTCATAGAGCCATACAGCATGGAAACAGACCCTTCTGCCCAACCAGTCCATGTTCCCAAACTAAACTAGTCCCACCTGCCTGCTCCTGGCCCATATCCCTCCAAACCTTTCCTATTCATGTACTTATCCAAAGGTCTTTTAAACGTTGTAACTGCACTACTTCCTCTGGCAGTTCTTTCCATGCAGTCTCTTTGTAAAAAAGTTGGCCCTTATGTGCTTTTTAAATCTTTCTCTTCTCACCTTAAAAATATGCCCCCTGGTTTTGAACTCCCCCACCCTAGGGAAAAGACCCTTGTCTTTCACCCTATCTATGCCCCTCATGATTTTATAAACCTCTATAAGGTCACCCCTCAGCCTCCGATGCTCCAGTGAAAAATGTCTCAGCCTATCCAACCTGGTTTTACAAACAGTCTCGGCAAAATCCTAAAACAGTCCTTTCTGCACCCTCTCCAGTTTAATAATATCCTGTACAACCTCAACATGATGTCCCAATTCCTATACTCAAAGATCAGAGCAATGAAGGCAAGTGCGCTAAATGCCTTCTTAACCACCCTGTCTACCTGTGAGGCCACTTTTGATGAATTATGTTCTCAAAACTCTTACAAAGATGAGCTATTAGCCGTATTTCTGTCAGATAGGGTTGTTGCAGCACTGGTAAAGGCCCTTTGGCTCATCAAGTCTGTACTGGCCCAGTATCGACCTATTCTAATCGCCTTTTTCAAGAACTTGTGTACCATAGCACTTCCAGCGCTTGTCTAACTGCTTCTCAAAACACCTTAACAAATCTTGCTGAGAATTTCCGTTCATTGCCTGGCCACCTCTTTGTGAAGTATTTTGTTTGTGTTAAATTTGCAGAATGTCCTAGGAAACGATGGAACAATTCACAAGCAGCAGAATGGTCTATTTCAGTTTTGTACATTTAATGTTATAATTTCTGACAAGTACTTATCAGCATTTGAGTTATTTATACGTGACATATGTATCCATGTAATTTTTAATTTCTTTTCCAGACTGCATTTTGGAATAAATATTTGGGTAAGATATTTATAATAACCTTTTAATGTTTAATATTTAACTTTAACTATATAACTCTTTAAAAGTACCAGACTGATTCCTGGAATGACAGGATTGATATATGGAAACTGGATTGGTTCGGACTATATTCACTGGCGTTTAGAAGAATGAGGGGGGAATCTCATAGAAATCGATCAAATTTGAACAAGATTAAAAATTAACATAGAAACAAAAAATAGGAGCAAGGGTAAATAAGAATGATGTCTGTGATGACTGGGGAGTCCAGAAGCAGGGGTTGCAGTTTAGGAATACAGGGTAGGCCGTTTTAAACTGAGATGAGGGAGAAGTTTCTTCACGCAAAGAGTGGTGATCCTGTGGAATTCTCTACCACAGAAAGTGGCTGAGGCCAAAACATTGAATGTTTCAAGTTAGATACAGTTGGTATGGCTAAGGGGATCAAAGTGTATGGGACAAAGCAGTAACAGGTTACTGAGTTGGATGATCAGCAATGATCATAGTGTTCTGAGGAAGGGTCACCAGACCTGAAACATTAAATCTGATTTTTTCTTCGCAGATGCTGCCGAACCTGCTGAGCTTTTCCAGCAACTTCTGTTTTTGTTCCTGATTGAAAGCGTCCGCAGTTCTTTCGGTTTTTATCAGAGTGAACGGTGGAGAAGGATCAAAGGGCTGAATGGCTTACTCTTGCTTCTATTTTTTGTTTCTACATTAACTTTTAATTAACTAAAGTGATAAAAATCCAGCAGGAAAAGGAACTAACTTAAAAAATTGTTGATTTTCTCCTGTTCTAAGCAATGATCTACATGAAATTATGTAGATTAATACCACATTCTGAAACATAATCATATAAACAAATAGGATTTGTCTTTCTGAATTGGGAACATTGGGAGTTTTCCTAAAACCATTTCTTCAACCAAATCAAAACTTTCCTTTAAAAGTCTTAATAAACCTCTGAAGTAAATTTTAAGGGAGAATGGTTGTGACTTATTAAATGAAGAGGATCTGTTTGCAGTGACAGATCACTCAGTAGCCAGATTTGAAGCATTTTGGAGAAAAGGATACTAAATCTAGTAAAGGAAAGTACAAAGATATGAGGCACAGATTAGTAATGATGGATTGAGGATCTTTCTAAAGGGTTTGGCATGGATAGGCAGTGGATTAGATTTAAAGATCGTGTGCGTGAATTCACAATAACTATTCATTCCTGTCTGGCATAAAAATAAGTGAGGAAAGGTAACTCAATCATGGTTTATAAAAGAAACTATTAGATCTAAAGAGGAGACATATAAAATTTCCAGAAAATGCAGCAAGCCTGAGGACTGGGAGCCTTTTAATATTCAGCAAAAGAGGAAAGACATTTTGATTAACGGAGTAAATGTATAAAAATTGCAGTGAATGCAGAAACTGACTGCAAAAGCTTCGATGAAAATATGAAGAGAGGAATTTAAAGTTTTAGCAAAAATCTGTAACTCGGGTTGTGAGTGAGTTTGTTGACTTGCTCACCGAGCTGGCTCGTTTTCGTTCAGACATTTTGTCACCATGCTAAGTGACATCATCGGTGGAGCCTCCGATGAAGCGATGTTGTTCTACTCTGCTTGGAATTTATACTGTCCGGTCCGTTATGGGAGTGGTGTCATTTCCGGTTTTGATCTGTATGGGTTTGTATATGGGGTCCAATTCAATATGTTTGTTGAATGTAGTATGTGTTGGGAACCATGCCTCTAGGAATTCCCGCGCTTGTCTATGTTTGGTTTGGGTTATTATTGTTGCCTTGTTCTAGTTAAACTGATGGCCTTCATTGTCCGAGTGTAATGATATTAAGGAGAGTTCATCATGTCATTTTGCTGCTAGCTGATGTTCATGTATTCTGATGGCTAGTTTCCTTCCTGTCTGTCCGATGTAACATTTGTGGCAGTCGTTGCATGGTAATTTGTAAACTATGTTGGTTGTGTGTGTTGTGGGAATGGGGTCTTTAATCCTTGTGAGTGTTTGTTATAGAGTGGCTACGAGCTTGTGTGCCACCATGATTCATTCCTATTGGTCGTAGGTGCCTCGTTGTCAGTTCTGAGATGTTCCTGATGTAGGGCAGAGTGGCCAGTGTGTTAGGGCATACTGTGTCCTCTTGTTGTTGTTGATTTAGTAGGTACCTGTGGATGAAGTTGCGGGGATATCCGTTCATAGCGAAGATTTGTATAGGTGCTCTTCTACTTTCCTGTGTAGTTCTGGCGTGTTGCAGTGAGTGGTAATAGGATCACCTAGACACTGAACAGACTAAAAGAAACAGGACAGATAACCGAGACGGACTATATGAGAATGAAACCAGAAGGCACAAACACTCCCCACTTCAATGGACTTCCTAAAGCACACAAACTGGACATCCCCCTCAGACCCATTGTCTCCCTACCGGGCACACCTTCACACCAACTGGCCAAGGACCTACGACAGGGACTGAAACACCTAGTCAACAGATCACCCCATTCCATCCACTCAACCCACAGATTTCTCAATACCCTCAAGAACATAAAAATCAGCGACAACAAGATTATTGTATCCTTTGATGTCACAGCCTAATTCACATCTATTGACATCCCCCTAGCCAAAGAAACACTGGCCACATTGCTAGAGGAAACAGGATTGCAGACCGGCAACTCAATCAGCAATGATAACATACTCAAACTACTAGATTTATGCCTCACCACACATTTCATCTTTCATGGTCAAGTGTACAAACAGATCAATATCACACCCATGGGGTCACCCATCTCAGGACTCATCACTGAGGCAGTCATGCAAAGACTAGAACACACCACCCTCCCCCACATTCAACCTACACTGTGAATCTGGTACGTGGACGACACATTTGTCATTATTAAACACAATAAACTGGAAGAGATCCATCACCTCATCATCAACTTATTCGCTGGGATTAAATTTACAAGAGAAGAAGTAAACAACAACCAGCTTCCGTTCCTGGACTTGGAGTATTGCGTACAGTTCTGGTCACCGCATTATAGGAAGGATGTGGAAGCATTGGAAAGGGTGCAGAGGAGAGTTACCAGGATGTTGCCTGGTATGGAGGGAAGGTCTTATGAGGAAAGGCTGAGGGTTTTGAGGCTGCTTTCATTAGAGAGAAGAAGGTTAAGAGGTGACTTGATAGAGACATACAAGATCATCAGAGGATTAGATAGGGTGGACAGTGGGAGCCTTTTTCCTCGGATGGTGATGGCTAGCACGAGGGGACATAGCTTTAAATTGAGGGGTGATAGATATAGGACAGATGTCAGAGGTAGGTTCTTTACTCAGAGAGTAGTAAGGGCGTGGAATGCCCTGCCTGCAAAAATAGTAGACTCGCCAACTTTAAGGGCATTTAAATGGTCATTGGATAAACATATGGATGATAATGGAATAGTTTAGGTTAGATGGGCTTCAGATTGGTTTTCACAGGTCGGCGCAACATCGAGGGCCGAAGGGCCTGTACTGCGCTGTAATGTTCTATAATGTTCTATGGACATCAGAGTTGAACGTATGACCAACAGAGAGTTCCAAATCTCATTATACAGGAAAGCAACCCACACTGATCGATTCCTCAACTTCCACAGCAACCGCCCCAACATCCACAAACAAAGCTGCATTAGGACTCTGCTCAAACAGGCCACCACTCACTGCAACACGCTAGCACTATGCAGGAAAATGGAAGAGCACCTACACAAAATCTTCGCTCTGAACGGATATCCCCACAACTTCATCCACAGGTACCTACTAAATAGACAACAGCAAGAAGACACTGTACAACCTAACACACTGGCCACACTGCCCTAAATCGAGAACATATCAGAACTGACAATGAGAGTCCTAAGACCACTAGGAATCATGGTAGCACATAGCCCACAGCCACTTTACGACAAACTCTCACAAGGATTAAAGACCCCATTTTCACAACATGCAGAACCAACATAGTTTACCAAATACCATGCAACAACTGCCCTAATCAGACAGACAGGAAGGAAGCTATCCATCAGAATACATGAACATCAGCTAACAGCAAAACAGCATAATGAACTTTCCTTAATATGTGCACTCGGACAATGAAGGCCAACAATTTAACTGGGACAACAGAACTATAGCAAACCAAACATAGACATGCACGGGAATTCCTAGAGGCATGGTTCTCCACCCATAATGCAATCAACAAACATATAGAATTGGACCCCATACACAAACCCACACAGATCAAAACCAGAAATGACAATACTCACCATAACGGACCGGACAGTATAAATTCCAAGCAGAGTAGAACAACATCGCTTCATCAGAGGCTCCACTGATGATGTCAACTAGCATGGTGACGAAAAGTCTGAATGAAAACAAGCCAGCTCGGCGAGCAAGTCAACAACATCATGAAGAGAGGAAGATTAATAAAGATAAATGTGGATCCCTCACAGTCAGAGGCTGGGGAAGTTATAATGGGGAGCAAAGAAATTGCAGAATAATTGAACACATACTTTGGTTCTGCCTTCACAAAAGTGGATACAAGTAACCTCCCAGAAACGTTAGGGAACCAAGTGTCTAGTGAGAGGGAGGAATTGAAGGAAATCAGTATTAGGAAGAAAATGGTTCTGATGAAGTTATTGTGGTTAAAGGCTGACAAATTCCCAGGGCCTGATAATCTACATCCCAGAATACTAAAGGAAGTGGCTCTGGAAATATTGGATGTATTGGTGGTCATCTTCCAAAATTCTATTGACTCTGAAGCAGTTTTCATTAATTGTAGTGTAACCTCGCTATTTAAAGGGGAGGGAATGAAAAATAAAGAGAATTATAGACCAATCAGCCTAACATCAGTAGTAGCGAAAATGCTAGAGACTATTACAAAAGATGTGATAACAAAACATTGGAAAACATTAACGGGATGACAACACATAGGATTGGGGATGATATTTTGGCATGGATTGAGAATTGGCTGACAGACAGGAAACAGAGAATGGTAAGAAATGGGTCATTTTGCATGTGGCAGACAGTAGCTAGTGGGTGCTGCAATGGGATGTATGTTTGGGTCCAACTATTCATGATCTATATCTGACCTGATGAGGGAACCTGGTGAAACATTTCCAAGTTTGCTGATGATGGAAAACTGACTAGGATTGTGAGTGGGAGGAGAGTGCAAGGAGGCTTCCAGGTGATTTAGACAAATGATGGGGCAAAAAAATGGCAGATATAGCACAATGTGGCTAAATGTGAAGTTATACTCTTCAATGTGAAAAACAGAAAGAAAGCGTTTTATTTAAATTGTGATATATTAGAAAATGAGGATATACAAGGAGATCTGGCAGTCCTTGTACACCAGTCAATGAAAGTAGATAAGCAGGTGCAGCAAGTAGCTGGGAAGACAGATGGTATGTTGGTCATCATTGCAAAAGGTTTTGAGTTCAGAAGTAAGGATGTCTTACTTCTGTTATACAGGGCTTTGGCAACACCATACCTGGAATATTGTGTGCAGTTTTGGTCTCCATACCTAAGAGAGGTTATACCCATCATAGAGGGAGTACAGTGAACGTTCATTAGGCTGATAGTGGGGAAGGCATCGCAGCATTTATTGCCCATCCCTAATTACCCTGAGAGCAGTTGAAAGTCAGCCACATTGCTGTGGGTCTGGAGTCACATGTAGGCCAGACCGGTAAAGACAAGCAGGTTCCTTCCCTGAAGGACATGAATGAACCAGACTGATTTTTCCAACAATCGATAATGGATTCATGGTCATCATTAGACTCTTAATCCCAGATTTTTAGTGAATTCAAATTCCACCATCTGCTGGGGCAGGATTTGAACTCAGATTCCCCAAATCTTTACGTGAGTCACTGGATTAACAGTCCAGCAATATTGCCACAGTGAGTTGTTTTGATCTAGACTGCTCTGCCTGAAAGATTGGTGAAAGCAGATTCGATAAAAATTTCAAAAGGGAAATGGATAAGTTCTTAACAAGTGGGCTGGAGGGAAAGGATAAGGGTTTGGTACAAACAGGCCCGTGGAACTAATTGGATAACTCATTGTCAGCAGAAGCATGATGGGCTACATTGTATTGTGATTTAATGACTGGATGGTATCAGGGATCACATTCAAGTGAAGTGCATTTTAGAAATATTCACACAACTTTTTTTCATGAGACTTCCAACCGTTCTTGTTTTCCTTGCCCGCATGAGCCTGCACAAACCTCCCTCTCCAACAGCCTTTAAAACTCTTCATTGCCAAAAAGTCTCAACAGAAGTAAATATATGCTGACACTAATTTTGCCAATGTTGATCTGAATATTAAGATATATTAAGATTTCATCTGAGGAAACTGTAAGAATTTCTTAAGCTCCAGGAGATATTTGTTTTAAATTTGCTGTTTACTCGTTTGAACTGGGAATTCTTGTCCAAATCTTAGAGTTCAGTTTGAAGAGACTGTCATAATCTACACCTCCTGCATCATTTCTTACCCTGTTCTCTTGAGCCTCTTATCTTTGTTAGAATCAGATTTCTCCAGTCTCTCACTGTTCACTGATGCTAGGTTGTGTTCGTTGTTACAATATTCTATCTTGACGACCTGACCTTGACATAAGAAAAAGGTAAAGGTGAAGTTGCCAGAGTCTTATGGAGCCATAGGGCTGCACTCTCATTGTGAGAGAGAGATCGTGAGAGGACTAGTGGTGGTAGTGGTTTAACCCAAGGGCTATCACACCTCAAAGAAAGGAGGGAGGTTGGGAAGAAAAGCCTCCATGGTAACCTTAGCCAGTTCAGGATTTGACCCCATGCTGTTGGCATTGATCTGTATTGCAAATCACCCACCCCACCAGATGAGCTAACTGACCACCTCTTCAGCTTGCCAATTAATTTTGTAGACCTTGCTAAAGCTCAACCATTTACAGTAAAATCATTCGTAATCTCAGTCATGTTAGGTTTAAGGAGGTTTTTATCCAGCTGCTCCAAGTAAACGGAGATTTTAAATGGATTTGGAATCAATTTTAAAGTTTTTTGGTCCTAAATTCTACGCATGATATTTCTCTAAGATTGGAACAATGCAGGTTCTTGTAGCTGGACGTCTGAGTTGGTTCACACCATGTGTGGGAAGCAATGGCCCAGTGGTATTATCACTGGACAATTAATCCAGGGACCCAGATAATGTTCTGGGCACCTGGGTTCAAATCCTGCCATGGCAGATGGTGGAATTTGAGTTCAATAAATATCTGGAATTAAGAATCTAATGATGACCATGAATCCATTGTCAATTGTCAGGAAAAACCCATCTGATTCACTAATGTCCTTTAGGGAAGGAAACTGTCATCCTTACCTGGTCTGGCCTCCATGTGACTCCAGACCCACATCAATGTGGTTGACTCTGAACTGCCCTCTGGGCATTTAGGGTGATAAATGCTGCCTGGCCAGCAACGCCCTCATCCTGTGAATGAATAAAGAAATTGAATTCAAAAAGTAATGAAGTTATTGTGGTTCATTTTCAGATGGAAACCAGTGTGACTCTAATCCTTGCCAAAATGAAGGGGAGTGTAAGGATGGTATGGGCTCCTATGCCTGTTGGTGTCAACCAGGCTTTCAAGGCAAGAACTGTGAAAACGGTAAGGTAAACAAGCAAGGTCATGCCCTCAGTGAGCACAGCTCAGTCCTGTGCAGTATGCCATGCTAGTGGGAGTGAAAGATGACTTGTGTTTCAATAGTGCAGTTCCCAGCCTCAGAATATCTTAAAACCAATGAAGTGCACTTTGTAGTACGGTCGTCATTGTAATAATATGGGAACATGACAGTTAATTGGACAGAGACTGCCCTTGACATCAAATCAACCAAATCTGGTGTCGAAGAAACCTGGTATTTCTGTTTTTGTTTAAATTCACTCTCAGAACCAACTCAACATCTCCTGATAAGAAAGCCCCTCAGCCCTATGTACCTGCTCCGCACTGTTTCCAATTCCAGTATATCTTTCTTTAGATAAGGTGCCCAAAACTGTATTCCAGCTGTGGTCTGACCAGTGCCTTGTACAATTTTAGCACAAATTCCCTAGTTCCATACTCCGTTCCATTTGAAATAAAGGCTAGCATTCCATTTGCCTTCCCTATTGCCCACTGAATATGGATGCCAGCTTTTTGTAATTTATGTATCAGAACTCCCACACCCCTCTAATCTGTAGCTTTTTGCAGTCTTTCTCCATTTAAATAATACCCAGCTCCTTGGTTCTTCAGCTAAAGTGCATAACCTCACATTTTCCCACTTGAATTCACCCTGCCAAGTTTTCGTTCACTCACTTAACCAGACTTTATCCCTCTGCCATCACTTTGCATCATCCTAACCACTTGTCTTCCCACCTATTTTTGTATCATCCACAAACTTGGTGATAGTACATTCACTTTCCTCATCTAAATCATTGACATATATTGTAAATTATTGTGGCCTCAGTACAATATCATTTCCTACCAATTTTCATGTTGCCTGTGAATCTAGCTATCATACATTTACTCCCTGCATCTAAGTTATTAATGTAAATTGTAAAACATGCTTATCCCAGCACAGACCCCTGCAGAACTGTACTCATCACATCTGACCAATCAGACAAAGATCCGTTTACACATACTCTCTGTTTTCAGCCAGCCGGCCAATCCTCTATCCATTCTCATACATTACCCTTAACCTATAATCTTTTATTGTTACATAATGACCTTTAACATCGACAGAGGCAAAAAGGGACTGAATTCTAAAAATGGTGTAAATGGCTCAGGTATGTGAAAGAGCTGAGAGAATACGTCTGAAAAGTGAGGTGTGAGCTACCAATTGTTGATTTGTTGGTCACACAGGACCCTCTGGATTAGGGTTAGGGTTAGTTAACCTCTGGATTAGGGTTAGGGTTAGTTAACCTCTGGAAATCTGCTCCATTGGGACTTGAGTGACATAAATGCAGGCGGCTTAATAGCAGTGCATCTTTCCAATGTTACATGTCAGCATTTTCCTAATCAACCTGGTCAGGGACATTTTGACACATTGCTGGAACATGTGGGACTGGCACCAGGGATCTTAGCTTACAGGTAGGAACACTACCATTGCACCACAAGAACGCTGAGTAATATACATATGTGGGTACCTCAAATATAACACAGATGCCAGTGAATGAGACTCAAGGGTCCAATCAATTGAATAGGTAATGAAAGATTTTCCCTGTCAGACACAGAGTTAGAAGGACCATATTTGTGTAAGGAGTGGTCTAGGTACTTGTGGTTGAGCATCTTCATTACATCAACTATTTAAAGTGAGATTGACCTTTGTATTCCCAGTATCATTGTTAACCTGTATTAATTTACATTCTTACTGATGCTTGTGGAATATTGTTGGTACTGTCTTTATTTCAGAGTCATTTGGTAAATTTGGTTATCTTGGTTTGCAGTTATCTAAAGCAAATTGTAAACATTGTTTTGTGCTCCTGCAGAACTGGTAAAATTATGCAGTTTGGATAACGGAAAATGTCATCATTTCTGCAAAATGGATTCAGGAAGAGGAGTGAAGTGTACATGTGCCCCAACCTACAAGCTCCATGCTGATCAACATTCCTGTATCCCTGCTGGTAACAATTACAGTATCATATCCTCTTAATAAAGGTATCCTGAGGAGACAGCACAGACACAGGCCATTCTGCCCTGTGCTCTAGGTAGGGTCATGTTGCCTTCTCCTGCCCTTCTTCAATGATGTTCCTTCTTTATAAAGGTGAACTAACCCTATTCACAGTACCCAAGATGTGGTCTCACCAATACTCTGTATAATGATGGCAAAAAAGCCAAAGTTTCGTCTCCTTTCCGAATGATTTGGTGAAACTGCATTTGAATTTTTCATGATTCCTGTGCCGCGTATCCCTCTGGCAATATTCCTCATTTAATTATTCTCACTGCCAAAGTTGAGACTGTCACATTTTCTCACTTTGTACTCCATCTGTCATGGGTTTTAATGTCCCTATCTCTGAGCCAGGGGGCCTGGGTTCAAGTCCCACCTGCTCCAGAAGTGTGTAATAACATCTCCGAACGGGCTGATTAGGGAATATCTGGACCCTGTCTGCCAATTTATGTTTTATTCTCATTCTCTGAACCTATTGATATCCCTTTGTAGATGTTTTCAGTGAAATCTTCCTGTTGCCTTGGACAGCACTGCCAAGTCTGTGACAGAGAGTCACACTGGGGTGCTTTCCAAATGCATCCCCATTCCCATGTGGAATCACAGCAGTTCGATGGCAACTAATTCACTCAGTTCGAGTCCCAGTTAGATGTGAGTTTCCATTATTTTGTTTTTATTTCAGAAAAACAGATGAGACACCTGGAAATGTAGTGGAGGCAGTTTCAGTTGAGGTATTCAAGAGGGACATTGGCATGGTTATTAGGATAGTAATGGTGTGCCGCGATTTGGAGAAAGGCAGGAGATTGGCACTAGGGGAATAGAACAAGTGCAGGCATGATAGCGAAAAGTAAACATCACATGTTTATTCATTTCTTTCTTTTTGGACAGTGGAACATGCATGTGGACGAATAGCACCAATCTACGCTGTGCGATCTCTTGATACCAAATCCGTGCCAGATTCTGAAACTACCAGCACTGTCCCAGTCAACGCATCTCTACATAACATGACAGATACTCCGCACAGTAATAACATCGAGGCTGTTTCCAATACCAGTAACAGTACAGCAGCCACTAATTATACCCACGTTAAGATATCAACAGCAGACAATGCCAGAATCGTTGGTGGTGAAGAGTGTCCCAAGGGACAGTGCCCTTGGCAGGTATGTCCTCTATGTTTTAAAGAAAGAAAGACCTTATGATCAGAGGGATCGCAGCTCTTTGGGGGTAGGCAATGGCCTAGTGGTATTATCGCAAGGCAATTAATCCAGACACCCAGATAATGTTCTAGAGATCTGGGTTTGAATCCCACCATGGCAGATGTTGGAACTTGAACTTAATAAAAATCTGGAATTAAGATTTCAGTAAAACCTATCCAATTCACTAATGTCCTTTTGGGAAGGAAACTGTCATCTTTACCTTGCTCTCTCTCCATGGATGCTGTCTGACCCACTGTGATCTCCAGCATTTGTTCCTTTCAGTACAGATTCCAGTGTCTGCAGTAATTTTCTCCTGCCATCCTTACCTGGTCTGGCCAATGTGTGACTCCAGACCCATGGCAACGTGTTTGACTCTTAACTGCCCCCCGGGGATGGGCAATAAATGTTGACCCAGCCAGCAAATGCCCACATCCCATGAATGAATAACAAGAAGCCCTGGCACTTTGGCACTGCATCTCCCAGAGGTAAAGTTATGGTGGGAAATGGAGTGGATCTCCATCTTACCATGAGGTCCCCTTGAAGGGTCACAACTCGGTTTGCTCAGTTAGCTGGACAATGGTGCTGACAGTGTGGGTTCTACTCTCATACTGCTGAGGTCACCAGGAAGGCCTACCTGCTCATCCTTACCCCCAGGCTGTGGTGTGGTGAACCTCAGGTTAAAATCGCCTCCTGTTATCTCTCTCCCTCCCTCTCCCTCTCTCTGAGAAAGCAGCCTATGCTTCCCTGGGACTGCAGTGACTCACTTTCAGGAAGAGGATTATGGATGTTCTGATCCCAGGTGACTGGAGCTTGAAGCCAGTAGAGTCAGGACAGGAGCCTTTTTTTTTCATTCACAGGATGAGAGCGTCTCTTGCCAGGCAGCATGTATTGCCCATCCCTAATTGCCCAGAGGGCAGTTAAGAGTCAACCACATGGCTGTGGGTCTGGAGTCACATGTAGGTCAGATCAGGTAAGGATGGCAGTTTCCTTCCCCAAAGGGCATTAGTTATTAATGCCCAGTGTTCTAACGTGGGACAGACACCTCCTGAAAATAAAACTGTCACCCCCAGAAACACCATCTTGATGGTTTTGTCAGATTTCCCAGATGCCATTACACTGCTTCAAGGCTGGTAAAATGCCAGTATCTTGATAAAATGGCAATCAATTGGCCAAGCTATTAACATTATTGTTTGCCTGGAAACCATTCACGCAAATGAGAATACTCCTAGTGCAATGATCACATTGTGTTTTACTCTGGACTCCAGACTGTCACGTGTGTGCAGGGATAGTGGGAAGAGATGGGAGATTGGCACTAGGTAATCGAGCCAGGACAGGGGGAGGTGATGGTCAAGCGGTATTGTTGCTGGCTCATTAATCCAGAGACTCAGATCTGGGGACCTGGGTTGATAATCCCACCATAGTTAACGGCAGAATTGGAATTCAAGAAAGAATCTGGAAGCAAGAGTTTAAATGATGAACATGAAACCATTGTTGGGGAAATCACACCTGGGCAGTGCCCACGACTCTGTGAATCAATTTAAAAACAAAAGCTGTGCTTGGCCATGTCCTTGCATATTATAACCAATCTGTGGTTCTTTATCATCCCCTCCGAATCCTCAGCGCATCCAGGAAATTTCTGGCTGCAAACTCTATTTCCCTCTCCACAGATTTTGAGTACTTCCAAAATATTCTATTTATGTTGCAGATTTCCAGCATCTACAGTATTTTAATTTCAGTAAAGGAAAGGACTTCTTATGAATGTTAGAAGCTGTTGTTAAAGATGTTGCAGCAGGGCCCATAGAAAAATTCAAGGCAATCAGGCAAAGCCAACATGGTTTTGTGAAAGGGAAATAATTTTTAACCAATTTGTTGGAGTTCTTTGAAGAAATAGCACTTGCTGTGGTTATAGGGGAACCAGTGAATGTATTTCGATTTCCAGAAGGTGCCAAGTCAAAGTCTATTGCAGAAAGTAAATTCTCATACAGTTGGAATAACGTAAAAACAGTCCCCGATTCATGGATATCAGACTCGAATGCTCATACTTAAGACGGAAAGCCAATATTAATTTTAGTTTTAAAGACCTAACATGTGAACATTTTCTAACTTACAAATGGTGTTTTATGTTGTATGATAGTGTTTTCCAACTCGTGTGTAAATCAACTTAGAA